GGGAGATGAACCTCCTGCAAATATGGGCCGTGGAGGGGGGCGGGGGAGGGGCACAGAAGGGAGGAAGCGCGACGCTTTTGTACGCGATCGAGCACGCCTTTGGACCGGTCTGGGACGCCCGGTGGTTGCCAGCCGAGGTCCTGGGGGAGAACGGGGGGACGGAGGACGTGATGGGCTCCCTGGTGGCCGTCTTCGGGGATGGTTCTGCGCGCGTCTACGTCCTCCCCCTGCCCCCCCGCCTCCCCGGCCCCCCTTCGGCCCCGGGGCCCGTCATCCCGCTCCAGCCCGTGCAGGAGCTCCTCCCCCCTCGGGGCACCTGCCTAACCACCGTCCGTCCCTCCCCTCACGACCCCAGCCAGCTCCTGTGCGGCGCCACCAACGGCATGGCCCTGCTCTACCGCCTGGAGGGTCCTCTCCTCTCCTGCCCTTTCCCCTCCCTTCCCGCCCTGTCTCCGCCCCCGCCGCGCCGTCTCTTCCCCGCCCGCCGCTTTTACGACGCCCGCGAGGCCCCTCTGCCCTCCCTGAGCGCCGTGGACGCGGTGGCCTGGCACCCCACGCTCCCCGACCTATTCGTTACCGGCGGGCACGACTGCAGCCTGCGCCTGTGGGACCTGCGCAAGCCTTTCCGGCCCGTGGTGGAGCGGGGAAGCTTCCGCCTGTGCCAGACCACGGCCTGGCTGCCAAACGGGGTCGGGTGCCTGGCCGGGTTTGCGAACGGAGCCGTGCGGCTGCTGGGGCTGCCCGAGGAGGCCCTCCGGGTCCGCTTCTACCGGCACGAGGCCCCTGTCTACGACGGGGTGACGGCCCTGGACGCGGTCTTCGACCCGGCGGTTGAGGGGGCGGTGGTGGTGAGTGTAGGCAAGGACGGGAAGATGGCGGTGATGGTCGTGGACAAGGAAGGCTTGATTCCGCGCCGGGTCGGGACCGCGCCGACTCGGACCTGCCTCATGACCCTCATGACCCTCCGGGGGGGCGACCGGGCGGTCCCTGGAAAGCATGCGGACTGCGAGGATGCTGGGGGGAAGGAGACGGAGACACGGCGCCTGACGTGCGATTTGACCTTCGCAAAGGCGCCCGTACGGGGGGAGTTGGTGGAGGTCTCCCCCTCCGGCGTGCCGCAGGTGCCTGTGCGCGTGGGCTTGACGGCCGCGCGAATGGTGATGGACGGGAGAGGAGATCCTTTGGTGGGGGTGGGGGGGTTCTCGGGCCTCGGTCGTTTCCTGGGAATAAGGCGCTTCTTGACATAAAGGGGTGGGGGCCGTGGGGAACGAGAAAGCGGAGGGTACCAGAAACGGAAGGCAGGAGGAAGAAAACGCAGGGTGGTTGAGGGAAGAGGCTAAGGAAGGGTAAGGTGAGGGATTTGTGGATATTTGTGCAGCATCGGAAGTGAGCTGGGTGTCAACTCAGCGGTCTCCACGAGTGGGGGACTAGGCAGGTCGGCGAGAAAGTGTCTACAGGGCCGCGGCGAGGCATGTGAGGTATTCGAGGGGGCAGGGCAGAAGCAAGGATGCCAGAGAGAGAGGCGGCGACGACGCATTGGTCTGGCAAGACACAAGCCCTTTTCAGTCCTTGATCACGTACAGGGCTTTTGAAGATTGCCATGGGGTCGACTGGCAACCTTGGGAGTCTCAAAGAAATGAGTTGGGAGATATCCTTACGTTGTTGTACTTTCGGCCTAAGTGGAGCAGGCACTGCATTAGCTTCTGCGAGATTATGCATTATTCACATTTAAGAGTCGCACTCAACTCCTTTCATCCCTCCGCGCTCATTTTCCTGCCCGTCCCCACCCGCAAGCGCTTACATCCCGTCTCAAGGCGACATCTCGGTCCACATCTCCCCCACAATACTGAAGAGCGAGTTCACCGCATCCACCCCCGACTGGGACGAGTCCTTGGCCCCTTCTCCGCTTGCGTGCGGACATTTCCCGCGCGTCATGCATGGCGGGAGCACCCCCAACTCCTGCCCGTCGTACAAGGTCATCTTCCGAGCGCCCTCGGAGCCCCCGCCTATCCTCTCCATCTCCACTTCGTCCTCTTCATCCACAATTTCCAAGGCTTCTCCGTTCTCATCCCTTCCGCCTGCTTCGAGCCCATCCCGAGTGTCTCGCGGTGGCCGCCTCAGATAGTACTCGACAAGGGGGTAAAAGTCTCTCATCTTGCTCGCGACAAATCGAGGGTCGTGGCACCATTCTGGGGCGGCGGGGCCGCAGCACAGATGGTTGCTTAGCACGTGCAAGGGCTCCGTGCCTTCTCCTTCTTGCTTCTCGCATGTCGGCGGGATGATTTCAGCCAGCCCTGCGATCGGTGCTCCGGATCCCGTCGCCGAAGCTGCGCCCACGCCCGTCAATGATTTGGCAGGTGGACCCCTATGCCCCTCCTTCCTCTCTCCCGTCCACGCACAGCCGCTCCCATTCCCTGGGCCCGCGTTTCCCGCTGCCGTCGAAGGCCCGACCACCTGCCCCTGCGAGAGAATTTGCCGGTACAAAATCCCGGGGAAGGGGATGTGCTCACCGCGGAAGTCCCGGCCCCAGGGCAGGAACAAGCCTTTCTCCTCCCGCACTATTCCTGGCAAGTGACTCCTGGCAGCCAAGGAATACTGAGGAGGCCCTAACCAGAGCTTGAAGGAACGGTCTTCCAGCCATGCTGGACCGAACTCTCGGAGATAATGCTCGGTGATGTCCGCATCGTGCAGGGTCTGATAACCCCGATAGGGCAGACTCCGACCAACCGAGGACAACGAGACGTAGCGTACGTCATAGTCGCTGAAATTGGCGATGAAGGGAGGCTCGTACAAACTGTTGGCGGTCCGAGGCAGGCGCCCTGTCACACGCGCCCAAAGCTCGCGACCCTCTCCGCTCCCACGTCCCGCCTCCGGGGCCCTTCTCTGCCCCTCTCCCTCCACCTCGCCATCTTCCGACGGCTTGTCCCTGGCAACAGGCTTCCTATGGGTCTCTTTTTTTGTCGCTCCTTCCCTATTCTCTTCCCTTTCTCGGCCCTCCTCCACCGGGCTTCTTTGTCCCTTCCAGAAACTCCACCCTCCGGCCCCCTTGCTCTTCTCAGGCACCCATGGCGCCTCGGCACAGGAGAAAAGGTACTTGGCATCCTTGTTCGCGAATTTCTGCTTGATGTAATCAGGCGACGGCAGGAAGAAATTGAAGGGCAAGTTGGGGGCGCGGACGGACGGACATGCAATCACGGGCGGAGTCACGTCGTTGTAGACGATCCCATGCTTGCGGCGGTACCCACAAAGGGGCAAGGTCTCAAATTTCCCGCCGCCAACTCTCCTGGACAGGCGCTTCACGGCCACCGAGGGCGGGCATGCCCAGCCCCACTCTTGCGGTGTCTCTGTCGGATACCGGCCGCGCGGACCAAAGCACTCCCCCATGTCATCCGCGAGTTCCGACATGGGCGGGAGGCTGCCCACGCGGTCCTGGTAGATACGGAAGAATAGAATAAAATACCCGGAGGCTCGGTCGTCCGCCAGGGCCCGCAATTCGTTCGCATGGCCATGGTCCCCGTGGGACGTGACCACCACCTCATACCCTCCTTGCTTCGCCCCCGCCATGGCCGCCGTCAAATTTGTGTAGCAGTTGGGCCCGTTCCCGGAGGGAATGATATCCACGTCCCGGAGGCTAGCCGAGGAGACAAAATCCGGGATGGAATAGGATTGAAAGGAGAAATACCGGGCATACGGAAGGGAGGACGAGGAAATCTTGATCTCCTCTCCTCGTCTGATGTACATCAGAGAGACGTGATAGATGGAGGTGGAGTCCGGAAAGGCGACGTTCCAGGACGCGAAATTGCTTCGTGAAAGTATATATGCGTGTGGGTGGGTGTTGTGTGTAGGTCCGCAATGTAAAAGACAAATTACACAATTATCATGACAATAAAATGACTTAGGTACCAAGACTCAGTAATGATGCAGTAGTAATAACCATAATATAAGACTGTGGTGCTCAGTAGCTTTCGCGTGTGATACAATAAAAAAGCTTTCATTCCAAGCGTTGACGCGAAGGCGGATATTGGGCATAAGGAGATATAATTACCTTACAAATCTCCATGCACAATAAGGCGGATTGAGGATTGCACCTGTCGTCGGGTATGAGCATACAATTTCGTATAAATTATAAGTCATATCTATGTCCGAGCAGCGTTGGCATCATCAAGCCCTCAGTAATGCCAAGATGACGCCTCACTTTCGGTGAGTCCTCGCTACTTGATAAATTTCTGCATTGCATTTCATTGATATCAACTGAATTTCGTGCGCCAAACACCCCAGAAAAAAGGTCTTTCGTATGCATAATCCCTGCACGTGATCTGCCCATTTGTGTCTTTTTACCTTTCTGCCAATGCCCCCAAAAAATGGTCGCTCCGAGACCTGCTAGAATCACCATGGTGAACTCCATGCTCCCCCATTGTCGTCGGTTTGATTGCGACGGTATTGGTGGTTTTGGCATGCCTGCGGCGAGTTGCGATGGGAAATGATATATGGACAGGTTGAGGAGTCCTCAGTAAGGACCCTTCAACTTTACGATAAAAGCGAAATAAAACAAAAAAGGCCAATTTCGCAGCCGACGCCCTGAATCCTAGCTTTCTTTCAAACCGCAGGTAGGCCTTTTGGGTGCGTAGTACAAAGCGCTCCAAATCTTGCCTGTACTTGTCCATTAGCGGGGTCGGACAGGGCCCCGGTGGCAAGGACGGCGCTGAGGGCCTCTCGCCCACGGGGCTTGGCGACTTGGGAGCTTGCACTCCGTGCAACCAGGGGTTTTGACGCTCGGGACACTCGTGGGTGGCATATTCGGTCGGTAACTTCTCGATGGATTTTGGAGAGACTGGCGGGTTCGATTCTCTGGCTCGCTTTTCTACAAAAGTCAGCTTTGCACCCATCCTCTTTCATTCAAGTGATGGTCCCATCTCCCATTTCCGCTCCCTCCTGTTCTCATTCATGATTCTTTTCCTACTCTTTCTCTCACCGCATATGTTTTATCCTTACATAAACCGAAACTTCAGAACGTGTTACCATGACTATGAGGCTGCGCGAGTTGATTCGGGCCGTCAGGGCATGCAAAACGGCGGCCGAAGAGCGCGCTGTCATAGCAAAGGAGTCTGCGTTGATCCGAACAGCAATAAAGGAGGAACACGAACAATACCGGCACCGGAACGTGGCCAAGCTCTTGTTTATTCATATGCTGGGATATCCCAGCCACTTTGGGCAGATGGAGTGTCTTAAACTGATTGCCTCCCCACATTTCTTCGAAAAACGCATCGGGTACTTGGGCCTGTCATTGCTCTTAACAGAGCAAGAAGAAGTCTTGACACTCGTGACCAACTCAATCAAAAACGACCTCAATAGTCCCAACCCATTCGTGGTAGGACTTGCGCTGTCGGCGGTTGGAAATCTGGCCACCGAGGACATTGCACGCGACCTAGCCATGGACGTGGACAAGCACCTCAAGTCCAACAACAGCTACCTGAGGAAGAAGGCCGCCTTGGCCACGATCCGCATCTTCCAGAAAGTGCCCGATTTAGTGGAGGACTTCATCGAACGGATCACCTCCCTCCTGAAGGACCGGAGCCACGGTGTGCTGATTGCGGCGGTGGAGCTGATGACGGAGGTGATGAAAATGGACCCTGCTTTTACGTCCGCCTTCAGCCGCCTGGTGCCCTCCGTCCTGCGACTCCTCCGGAATCTGTTGACCATGGGGTACGCCCCAGACCACGACATCGCCGGGATCACAGACCCGTTTCTCCAGGTGAAACTGCTCTACATGCTGCAGTGCCTGGGCCGGGACAACGCGGAGGCCTCAGAGGCCATGAACGACTTGCTCGCCCAGGTCGCCACCAACACGGAGACGGCCAAGAACGCCGGCAACGCCATCCTCTACCAGTGCGTGCAGACCATCATGAGCGTTGAGTCCGAGGCGGGCCTGCGCGTCTTGGGCATCAATATCCTTGGCCGTTTCCTCCTGAATCGGGACAACAACATCCGGTACGTGGCGCTCAACACCCTGAGCAAGGTGGTCGGCAGGGACGCGGCCTCCGTGCAGCGGCACCGCAACACCATCGTGGAGTGCCTGAAAGACCCAGACGTGTCGATCCGCCAGCGGGCCCTTGAATTGATCTGTCAGCTTGTCAACCCGCAAAACGTCCAAGAGCTCACGCGGGAGATGCTTAACTACCTGGTGGTGGCTTTGCCCGAGCACAAGGCGAGCCTCTGCAGCAAGATCATGCACGTGGTGGAGACCTACGCACCCTCGCTCCTCTGGCGCCTCGACACATTGATCACCATGCTGGCCATCGCGGGGGACGCCTGTGACCCGAGCATCCCGCACGCCCTCGTCTACTACCTGTCCACGGCCGAAGACCTGCAGCGTTACGCGGTCCACAAGCTCTTTTTGCTCCTGACAGATGATGCCTCCCAGCTTGGTCTGGTGCTGGCGGCGGTGTGGGCAATCGGGGAGTTCGGAGACTTGCTCCTGCAGGCTCAGCCTGCCCTGGACGAGGACACGTCGGCCATGGAGCCCCAGACCCCGGCGGCAGTCTTGGACGCGCTGGAGGAGGTGGTCACGAACCACGGAGCCACGCAGGTCACCCGAGGCTACGTGTTGGTGGCCCTGTTGAAGCTCTCGGATCGTTTCGCGGCGGCCTCGCCCTCCGTTTCGGATGCGGAGATGCGGCGCCTGGCCGGTCTCCTTTCCAGGTACGACACGTCCTTGCAGCTCGAATTGCAGCAACGATCCTGCGAGTTCCGCCAAGTGTTGGCCCCAGGGGTGGAACGTGTGCGGCCGGAGATTGTGGGGAGGATCCCGCCCTTGGATGAGGCCATGCTCACGGCGAGGCGGGGAAGGTTTCCCGGGAGAGAGGACGGGGGGGGAAAGCGGGGGGTGTCAATGGAGGGATCTCTGTTCGGGGAGGAAGGGACAGGGAAGAAAGGAGGGAAGGAAGGACCAGCGGCGTCCGGAGGTGCGACAGATTTGCTGGACCTGGAGGAGATCTTCGGGGGGGCGCCGGGGCCGGGGAACGGGGGAAACGGGATGACGGGTGCGGTGACGGGAGGAGCCAGCCTGAAGGGGGGGGAAAGCGCGGACTTACTGTCGGACATCTTCGCGTCGAATGTGCCCGTGGCAATGCCGGCGTCGGCACCGGTGGCGCTCAGCACTCCTTTCGATCAGGTCGTGGTGGCGGAGGAGGGGCACTTGCCGCACGCCCCGCCCCCCTCCTTCTCGTCCTCATCCTCCCTCCCTCCGCCCACCCCGTCCGCGCCCCTGCCCCCGGCCCTCCCGCAGCAAACCACCGCAAGCATCACGGCTTTCGACCAGGACGGATTGCGCATTACCATGGAACTGTCCAAGCCCAGCCCCGCGGACGATCCCTCTGCGTCTCTCCTTCTCTGCCGCTTCGACAACCGCACGGACGTCACCCTGACAAACCTCTCCTTCCAGTGCGCCGTGCCTAGATACGTAAAGTTGGAGCTGAGTCCGGCCTCTGGAAGCACCTTGCTGCCCAACACGGCGGGGAGCGTGACGCAAGCGGTCAGGGTCGCCAACAGCCTCCTGGGTCAGAAGCCCCTCCAGCTCAAAATCAAAGTGCAGTACACGGACGGCCGGGGCCAGCCCATCACCAAGATGGGTACCGTGGCGAATTTCCCGGCTGGGTATTGAGATGGCGTGATATGTTGGGAAGGTCTAGGTGTATAACTCCCGTCACCGCCGATCGTAGCATCTTGGAATTGTGGCTCTGGCGGGGAATGTGAGCACAGCGGTGTGAAGAACAGTGCTTTGTATTTGTTATAGTCTGTGGTCGAGCCAATTTTTTCGCAATCGCTGTGCCTTTCTGACCTGGCCACGCTTTATTTCTTTTACTCGCCTGCCTCGACCACCAAAGATCGCCTTGTGTTTATGGCATAACATGGAATGCACATGCGATAGGTCCGCGCGAAAATGGACGCGCTCAGAACATCTCTTTGACCAGGCGTGTGCCGGAGTTATTCTTACTTTAAAACGCCTGCAATCCATAAACCACCGTCAGGTCCTTTCGAGACCACAGCAACGCGTAATCGACGTCCTTTAACTACACTGAACCTTCTTAACTCCCATTTGACCTTCTATTTATTGTCTTTCACCTTGTTATTTGAGACGCTTGTGCGATAATTTCCACGATGCACATGGAGCACGCAGGACGCATACCGTCGTCACAAGAAGTCGCCTAACTGACACACACGTCAATTTTTCATCCTAATTTGCCACCCTTTCTGACGATGATGTCGTGGAAATTCGCCTGGACGTATACCTAAAGGTCTCGCCGGATTTTTCCTTTTGTGATATTTCTTCCCTGATGGGCGAGCGTGCTGGTGGCTGCAATACAATTCTACCGGCTTGTCACTGGGCTGGACAAGATATTTACGCGCTTGTCCACCTTCTACTTAAAATTGGGATGAGCATTTTTTGCTGTCAAACCCTGAGGACATTGTCTTGGCTGCGTTCGACGGTCTGTCTCGTGTGCTTTCTTCTTGGCGGCCCCATCATCCGAGGAGTCCCTCGCCTCGCTCACTGCCTCATTTCCGAATCACATCGCAGAGTCTTAAGGGATCATGACAAGCCGCACCAATAGGAGCGACGAAGGAAGGACAAACTTGGCTACAAGGGGACCAGACCATCTTCCATCGTCGCCGTCACCCGGCAGTCGGTCACGGGAAGAGGAGCCACAAGGCCGTACGCCGCGCTCCCTCATGCGCTCGCCCACTTCGAATGCCGAGACTCTGGACTCTTTAGAGTACATGCTTGACAATTTGATCATTGTCGTAATCGGTGCATCTGGAGATTTGGCGAAAAAAAAAACATACCCCTCCCTTTTTGATCTTTACAGCCATGGCTACCTCCCCGAGCACGTGGTCATCATGGGATACGCCCGCTCCCACAAGACGAACGACGAATTACGAGACCAGCTCAGGCCGTTCCTCTCTGATCATGGTGATGCCAGCAAGATGGAGGAATTTTTGTCCAAGTGCATGTACAAGTCGGGGGGATACGATGACAGGGACGCCTTCGCGTCGCTGCATGCCGACTTATTGGACTACGAGGCCGAGCAAGAGGTGTCCACCACCTCGAACCGTTTGTTTTATTTCGCCGTCCCGCCAAACGTCTTCCTCGATGCAGCTCGGTCCATCCACGAGACTGCCGTGTCGCCCTCGGGGTGGACACGTATCGTGGTGGAGAAACCTTTCGGCCACGACTACGACAGCTGCAAGGAACTCTCCTTAGGCTTGGCCGAGCTTTTCACGGAGGACCAGCTCTACCGGATCGACCATTACCTGGGGAAGGAAATGGTGCAAAATCTGATCTGCCTCCGGTTTGCAAACGAATTCTTAGAGCCGCTGTGGAACAGAAACCACGTGCAATGCGTGCTCATCACCTTCAAAGAGGACTTCGGCACCCAGGGTCGAGGCGGCTACTTCGACAAGTCCGGGATCATCCGCGACATACTCCAGAATCATCTGACACAGGTACTGTCCCTGGTGGCGATGGAGCCCCCGGTCCGGGTCTCGGGCCCCGGGCATAGCCACTACGTACGCGACGCCAAGGTCCGGCTCTTGGAGTGCGTGCCCCCCGTCACGGTGGAGGACGTGGTGCTGGGCCAGTACGTAGGCGACGGGGAGCGCGAAGGCTACTTGGACGACCCGGGCGTGCCGGCGGACAGTCAGACCCCCACGTTTTGCAGCGCGGTGGTGAAGATCCAGAACCGGCGTTGGGACGGCGTGCCCTTCATTCTGAAGGCAGGCAAGGCCCTGGACGATCGTAAGGCGGAGATTCGAGTCCAGTTTAAACCTCCGCCCGCGGGGTCGTACTTATTCGACGGGCCGGTGAGTGCTCTGCGAGACTGGTAACGTGTCGCAGGAGGGCGGGCGAGCGGCTTTCCGGGCCTTTTCCAGGACCGGGGCTCACCTGTCCCGTGTCCCGTCGACTCCCTTACCATTCCCGCACAGGCCATACCACCCAATGAATTGGTCATTCGATTACAGCCCAAGGAAGCCATCTACCTAAAAACAAATGTCAAAGCCCCGGGCCTCCGCAGCGCCCCTCTGCAATCCGAGCTTGACCTGAGTTACCACCTCCGATACCCCGATACCTACAACCCTGACGCCTATACTCGCCTCTTGCTCGACATTCTCCGTGGGCAGCAGTCCACTTTTGTACGGGACGATGAGCTGATGGCGTCGTGGAAAATCTGGACGCCTCTGTTGCATGCGATCGACGAAGGCCAGGCCGCCCCCATCCCGTACAGGTTCGGGTCGCGGGGCCCGGCGGAGGCTGATGAGCTCGCCAAGAGCGTGGGCTTTGTGTACTCGGGCAGGTACAAATGGAAAAATCCGGCGGCGAAAATATGAGAGAGGAAGGAGAGGAGTACGCGCGTAGATATGTCACGTGTTCGATAAGTGGCGTAATCGCACATTGAACTCGGGACATTTTTCGCCCCGCGCATGTCGTAGAAGATGCATGCCAAAGAGACGATTTCCTATGTGTAAATCATATGCCTTCGCGAGGAGATTTAGGCTGAATAATTGGCGTTGGCTCGACGAGCATTTCACACATCACAAAGCACCAACGACCATGCAGAACTAGCCATGGGAAATAGCGTGAGGCACTCAGTACTGAGGCAACCGGGAATTGGCAGGAATTTGTGAAAGCACACATTTCTTAGCGCACGAGGCCTAATCCTCTTCATGCTGTACAAAGAAAAGTGTGGCTGCGACGTGCAGTGATCATTCAAAGAAAATGAGAGAGATACGCATGAGCTTAGCATCTTCCAATTTCTGAAAGACAACATTTCTTTGGTAAGGTAGGAATACCTCCAACGCCGATACTCCTCATTTTTTTGTCATTTCTTCTTTCGTTGCTCGAAGGACATTGCCCCACGGCGCCTTTCACCAACTGCCATCCGCCTTGTTGGGGAAACTTGGCAGTCACTTTGGCTTGAGTGAGCTGCATACCTCCAACTCAACGTCACGTTCCTTCTTTGCCCCCTTGTAACATGGGAATGAAAGTCACTAGCGCAGGCGGACAATGCTGTAGGTAGGCACACTCATCACCTAGTCGTCTCAGTTAACCCGTATCGCGCAAAAATCGACCCCGTGCCTTCACTCTTTTCTCTACTGTGTGTTTAACCACGCTAGTGTACAAACGCCCGGGCATCAACGCCCATTCCATGTGGACGTCGAAAGAACGGCCCGACGGTTGACCTGTTTCTTGTTGCATACCTCCTTTCTTCTCCTGTCTGTCAACACTCCTTAAATCGAGCCACCGCCCCAGCCGTCTATTTCATCTCAAGAGATGAAAAATGGCTGCGTGGAAGGTGACGTTCCCGGAGACTTACCAACGCCTTGGCAATGGGGTCATTTTCAAAAGTCTCTCACACTTGAATTTTCGAGAAGTCCTGCAACCACACACAAAACACATAAGGCGTGTCCAGAGATATTTTCATGGCGTACGCCCGCAGCCGCGTGCGTACGATCATACAGAGACACAAATAGACACACACAACAGCTGCGCGATACACATATCTAACTGGACGTCAATCTGTTACAGCAGGGGCGCTGTCTATGGGGCTACTATCATATATAAGGACCCTAAACGAACTGATGCAAAAAGACTTGTTTCCCGGCCCACCTACACGTGGCACACTCCATTCTCAACTGCCTCCACGGAATCCATTTCCCTCAGGCTTTCCCGAGCATCATTATCCGTCCCCAGGGGGGCACGCCAATCAAAATAGGAGCCTTTCTAGAATGTTCAAGTCCTGCCATCCGGGAAAAACATTTTGTGCAGGCTCTTATTCTCCCCTAACATGAAGCTGGTCGGATGGGAACTTATCTTTTCCGGGCACTAATCTTTTCCCTCGCCTCATATACGATCCAAAAAACTGCTTCTGGTGCCCTCCACTAGGCGTGGTGTGCCAGGGCCCCATCTCTCAGCCGGTCGACACCCTTTTCTCACCAACCCGTCTTCCGCTTTCTCATCGATTTCATACGTCCTCCATTTTCGCTCATCGTCTTCCAAATTTCCCTTTTGTCTGCCCTTCGAGCCAGTATTTATGCCAACAGCAGCCACGGGGGCTGACTCCTAGCGTTCTTCTTATGACTACTTCTTTCCTCCTTTCCTCCTTTCCCTCTTAACCCCTTTCAAACCTCTTCTATAATCTCTTCCCAAACCCGGACATCAAGCACACGCGCAACCCATTGTTGCTTCTCATTCTACTGGCCTCCTTATCGTCATGGATCTACTCCGCGGTGGTAGCCACACTCTTTCTCACCACGCACTGTTGTCAGAGGGCGGCCGTCCGTACGATGGAGGCGGAGCAGAGTATCCACCACCACTCCGAGGCGGCGGGCCTCCATACCCGGAGGCTGGCGGTCCGCCGTAACCACCATAGCTGTTGGGTATGCGAAAGGGTTTCAAGCTTACTGTGAGAGTAGATTCCCAAAATGTCGCTATGGTATCCATACCAACACTTTGAAGCTATTGTGGAAAGACGCATAAACAAAGGACATGGGCAATACATGAACGCATCGGGATTGAGAAACGGAACAGGTCACAAAAAGCGACAACAAACC